TTTTTTTTTTAAACGTTTACTTATTTTTGAGAGAGAGACAGAGCGCGAGCAGGGGAGGGGCAGAGAGAGAGGGAGGCACAGAATCCGAAGCAGGCTCCGGGCTCCGAGCTGTCGGCACAGAGCCGGATGCGGGGCTCGAACTCACAAACCGTGACATCATGACCTGAGCCGAAGTCGGACGCTCGACTGACTGAGCCACCCAGGCCCCCCAGAAGCCACCTTGTTCTTGAGGCCGGTCTGTGGGATTGTGGGACAGGGCCACCCTCTGCAAATCACCGGGCTGGGCCCAGGGCCGTCAGCTGGGCACGGAGGAGCCTGCGTCAGGCCCCGAGAGGCTGTGGGGTCCTCGTGGGTCATCTGGGCCAGCCCGCCCAGGCGTAACTAACTGCCTTGGAGCTTCTGTGGGGGTGCCTGTCCCGCCGGGAGGCCTGGCGCCACCCGCGACCCAGTTCCGCCTCCTTACCTCCTTCCTCTGGCCAGCAGCCAGCCCTGCACCTGCCCCGTGCTCCTTGAGGGATGTTTTATAAGCTACATAGCACGCCAGAGCTGGCCCGGCCTGGTCCCGCCTCTGGGGCCAGGTTCTGGGGCTGCCCGGGTGGGCGTCCTTCTGTCTCTCCTGCCCCTGAGTCTTGGGGACCTCGCTCCTTGCTGCCATCCAGCCTCTGGCCCCCCTGTGGCTGGGACAGGTGGCTCCGGCCTTTGTCCTCTCTTGCCAGAGCCCCAGCAGTGCCAGGAAGCTGTGGCCTCACGGGCATGTGACTGGACTCGGCGGGGGGGTTGGGGGGTGCTGACTGACCGGTTCCTGGTCCCCCAATTCAGGCACACACACACATTTGCTGAGTCATCCCCCAGCCCCCCCATATCTGGACACTTCTGCTTGGTCATGAGGCAGCAGCTGTGGGTTTTCCCTGGAGCCAAGTGGCAGCAGAGAGGCTCCCACAGGGACCAGAGCCGGAATCCCATGGTGACCTGTGGTCTAGGCCGCCTCTCAGGGGACGGGGGCGCCCAGGCCGGCAGGACCCGGGGGCCTCAAACTCGTATCTCACATCCAAGCCCTCGTGTCCTCTGACCTATGAGAGCATCGACGACGAGGTTTGAGGCTCGGGGGGGCGTGTGCCCCCTTCATGGTCACCTGAGCCTTGAGCCAAGTACCCTGGGCTTCTCAGGCTGCCCTCCTCCGCTGTGTACAGATGGGGAAACTGAGGCTCAGAGCAGGGAAGGCAGGGAGTCTAGGCAGTGAGGGACTCTGAGCCAACACTGTCGGTCTCCAGGGTGCACCTCCTCCCTTTGGCCGTTCGCATGCCTCCACCTAGAAGTCCTCCAGGCTTGGCCCTGTGGGACAAGGGCAGGGTGGGAACTGAGGTCCCAGAGGCGAGCTGTGACTTGGCTCCCATCCTGGGGAAGAAGTCTCCCCTTCTGGGCCTGGATCTGTGAGGCAGAGGGGTCTTCCAGGGTATGGGGACCAGCGGCTGGGGGGGGAGGGGGGCGG